GGGTAAGTGTACCTATCTCCGTGCTCTGCCCTATTACCGTGGATTTTGAAAAACTGATGATTACTTGCTCAAAATAAGAAATGTTTCATATAAAATAATTTTTTAATTTTAATAATCTAAAATGACGTTAATGTAGATGCAATTCAAACAGAAATATTTGTGTATATTTTGAGTAAATAATTATTTTCCACGGTATTCGGTACAACGCGCTCATTAACTGATTGTGTACGTATTTCCGCGGTGAGCGTACGTAAACATAACCTTATACTTATCCGCGGTAATACGTACACGGTAATAGGTACACAACCACGGTTATACCAGCATACCGTTTTTATTCGTTTTAAAAATATTCTACTGAAGTTTTAGCTTCATAAAATTTTTTTTAATATTCCGTAAGAGATTATGTAAGATTTAAAAAAAAAAGTATTCCAAAAAATTTTAGTATACCATTTTTTATGGTGCATTTAAGTTGGAATTTTTAGTACGTGCCACGGAGATAGGTACACTTACCCCTATGGGAAATATGGATATTCACTCATCCTTTTCCTTCACCATTGAGATGCACTCCTTTGCCATTCCCTTGGACCAGACCCAGTCTAGGAACTCAGTTTTATGTTCAACACTTACGGGTAAGTGTACCTATTTCCGTGGCGTATGTTAAGAAATCCAGATTAAATGCACCATAAAATATTGAGTAATGACAAAATCCTATGGATTTTTTTCTTAAGTCTTGCATAAACTCTTAAAGATTATTTAAAAATTTTTTTCGAGGCTAAAAGTTGAATGGATTATTATTAAAATTAACAAAAATAGTATGCAGGTATTACCGTGGTCATGTACCTATTACCGTGTACATATTACCGTGGATGTCTCAATCACAGGTGTACAATCGTACTAGATTTAAAGGCGGGCGACGTATCGTCAGGAGATCCGTATTGCCTCGGTTGCATGATAGTGTGTGTAGGCATGACCAGGCGTGTCTCTCTAGTAGTGTGGAGCTACGACATACGCGCTACTCGCAGGGCCAAGCGCGTGCTCATGCACTGCACACACCTACACGTAGGTATCTGTTGCATCAGTCTTTGGACAAGAAACGCGCGCACGGCGCAGACCGAGACCGTTGCCATGTTGAATCTCGAGTCTCGACTAGTGGTGCTAGACATTGCTGATTCGCGCTCACTCGCTTTGTTGTAGTCATTGCGTGCGGAGCTCTGTAGCAACTCTAACTCGAAAGTATGTCAAAGGTTAAACCTCTAAAACTATCTCTCTGGTAAATTAGCTTGCCCTGACCGGCGATTATCTCTCCTTAGTGGATTTACCGCCTAGATTCGATCATTCGCGAGTGCGCTCGGTAAAATCTTTTGGTATGTTATTTCCGATGCGTTTAGTTTATGTTAATCATGCGTTTTGTTTAAATTATTGTGATTCTCGTGCGTGCGTGCTTATTCGTATATTTCGTCATATTTATTCAGTTTGTAGTTATTAAATAAAAAGGGTTTTTTTCTGGCTTCGTGTCCTTTTTCCCTTCAAATTCTTGTGTTATTATTTATAGCCTAATATCCAGTGTAGTATTAAATATAATTACATGCATGCAATTAAATTCAGTGCTTCACAATAAAATAACTTCCTTCTTTTATACGGCGACCGAGCCACCTAAGGCAAGGTCATCGGATTAAACAACAGGCCTCACCACGGTAATACGTACACGACCGTCTAACATACTCTTGGTACCTAATACCGTGCATAAATATGATTTTCTCTATAAATTAATCATATAAATATTACATTTTTATCCTAATTTGAGCTATTCTTGGATTTTAATATCAAATAATTTTTTTGCGACCGCTATTACACTTTTTCAAAAATTAAACAGCATTTTTGTAAATGCACGGTAATAAGGCAGACCACAGAAATATGTACACTTACCCCTAGATGATAGATTTCGTGAAAAATCGCTGTCAGTTATTCAAAAATTGTGTATATACTTGAACGAATTTTAGCTAGCGATAGGTAAGATATCATTTTTACCTCCTCCACTGGACTCGCTTTTTGTAATATTGAGCTGTGTGAGAACAGTTTCTAGCATGTCACTGCAGACTTGCATACTCGGCTCGACGATAAATTCGATAAAACCTATCTGTGACTCGGCTACCAAAGTATTGTTTCGATCGCAGAGGGGTGAAAAGGGTAGTCCAAGCTCTCTTTCCTTGTCACCTTGCTGGAAAAATTCCTCGAGAAGCTGCATCGTCCACCTGAGATTACAAATAGCAAATTTTTTTTATTGTTCAAATATAATGAAGAAATATGATTTTAATAAGACACTAACTTCATACAAAAAAATGAGCAAACGGCAAAACACTTTAATTAATCGTTTTAGTTAAAAGAAATTTTGTCACATCACGAAATTGTTGAGGGGTTAGATAGTTGTAGTATTAAACTGTACTGCTTTCAGTTCATAGAAGTGCAGAAAATGTCTCTGAAAAATGTTTTTTTTTTTTTTTTTTAAAGAAAACTAAAGGATACCTATGATGCAGGTCCCACCGTTTGGCAGGATGTGAAATATCGCAGCAGTGAAGAACGAGGCTCACAGCCTTGCTCTTGTCAACAGTTGGCTCGGCGAGGCTTAGTAAATTTTTCATGTTTTTTAGCTGCTGAAAGTGAAAACTCATGTCTGTCGCCAGGACCATGTCGATCACTAGAGTCCGGAACTCCCGGAACTCTTCTCGAGACAAATTCTGCAGGATATTGCACTCATCCTCGCGTAATATACTGAAAATATCCAAACACTAAAGTTAAAGTTTGGTTAAAGAAATACTATCATTAAATCTAAGTATTTATTACTTTTTTAATTTATATTTGAACAAAAATTAAAATATTTAATTACCCAAGAAATAAAGATTCGCTTCCTCCAAATAACAAATTACAAATGTAAGCAAACTTTTACAAATTTTTTTAAATACAATAAAAATTATGTTTAATTTTAAATCATTTCCATCACAAAATACCTTAGAAATTAGATCTTATTAAGTGCATACTTTATAAATGGAGGCCGATTACTGCGGTTTAGCAAAAATTCAAGCTCATTATAGGAGTCCGATAGTTACGACTTGTATCGAATTCTAAGATTTTTGTGGTTTTTTGTGAATTAATTACCCGTGGCCAAAGCAACATCCAACTATTGCAATTTTAATCAGAGTTTAAAAATTTTTAATTGGAAACCATGAAAGTAATATACTATGCCGTTTATTAAATCAAAAATTCTAAAGTAATAAATAATAAAAAGTAAATAAAAATTATGCGATTTAACTACAAATTCATTGAGTCCTTTTTTTCAGGAACAGCTATCCTTAAAAAATTTTGAAATGCATTTTTTTTATTCTTTTATATTTTATATTTT